TTTACTTCTACGTGAGCAGTAAGTGATCAATAATAATTTCTTTCTAAAGTAGTCAACACTCAACATTGTCATGCAAATTTTAGTTCTTGTCAAATCAAAAAAGTAAAACGGAGAAAAACATAAAAAGAAAAGTCATGATAATTTTAAAAATTATTTAATTTTATATAGCTAATTTAATATTATAATTAATATTCCATTGTAATATCGTATTGCATATACAAGAATAATTAAAACTGAACTGAACTTTTGTAGAATACGGCTGAATTACTTTTAAAGCAAGTGTGTGCATACATACATATATATACAAAAGCCAGGGTAATATTTTCTTAAAAATTCGTTCTTACATTTTCACGGAAATAAATTGCAAATCGCATATCTAAGATAACTGAAAAATTTGTTAGATTGGATTAATTTGGTTAAACGGAAAGTTTATATTGACCAAAGTCCATTGGTAATAACCTCAGTACTCACAGTAATAAACAAAATAGGTGAATAAGTAAGGGCCTATTTTCGACATTTTTGATGTAAACGGTAAAGGTATTCAGTAAAATTCGTCCAAGATAATTTTAGCAATTTCCGATCAGAATTCTCGAAATATTCACATTATATCCGTATATGTACTACATTATGTTGTTATGTTTGCTTTTTAAAGCCATCTATATTATTGTATCTACACTTTTATTATATTTATTATATAATATACATATATATACATATAAAACACGTATGTACACGTTTTTTCCTTTATTATAGAATTTTTTTGCAATCTTCTTGTATTTTAAATAAAAAAAAAAAAAACGTAATGCAAAATATTGAATTAAAATGTTTTCCTAAAACCGAATCACGCAATGGAAAAACGAAATTAAATTAAAAAAAAAAGAAGAATCTATAGTTAAAATAGTTGAACCGTTATACTATAAGGTAATTTCATTAAATCTTTAACATAATATATAAGATAATTTAACAGCTTTCTTTTTTTTTCCTTTTTGACTCCTAGGAGGAGCATAGGACTAATGCATGATATCATAGATGGTTATGCCATAGTTTCATTGCGTCATAAAATTTTAACTAGGTAGGTGACTAGCTCGCCATAGTTTTTTTTTTTTTTTGAATTAAAGTTGAGTCAATGAAATAATTAGATATTACTAAGTAATCCCAAATTTTAAGATAGAAAATCACAAAATAATTTGAATTTGAATTTGAAGTTATATTTAGACTTAATTACAACTACATATGTGGCTCCCATAATTTAATTATTTAACTTGGTTATAGAAATTTAGAAAATTACGGCTACAATAACTCTTTTTTTTCTAATATGAATAAATAAAACAATTGAAAACGATTTAATAAAAGGCAAGTTCTTTATTCTATTTTTAATAATTATTGATTAAAATCATATGAAGTCTTTATTAAAATTTTTAATAAAAAAAGTAAAAGTGTCATTTATTGGAGGAACTGCTTGAAAATTTTGATTTGAAATTCTCAAAACTACATTCACTTAATAAAGTACTTCCCTCATAATAAAAATTTTGTTGCCCTCGTTGGACAAACATTCGATTTGCTTATTTTTTTTTTTTTTTGAGAAACAAAGAAAACATTAAAAAAAAGATTTTCATATTATTATTCCTGTTATTAATAAATCATATTTGTTAATAAGAAAATCATAAAATCACTTAAAACTTCTTTCGTGTTTCATAGTAATTAATTACATAAAGTTATGCATCGCATGATTAAACCGTAACTGACATCATAAACGAATATGCAAACATATACAAAAAAAAATTTTTGTCTTATTTTAGATTTAAAATGAAATTCGCCTAAAGGCGTGAAAATAATAAAATATTTAAAAATCACAAAAAAAAAAACTTTAGCATATAGCTTTCTACGATGAACTTCAGAGCTCAACGCATTCGAAATGATTAATGGCACTGATCTATTTATTGATCGGGAATTCATGTTACGTTTTTGTTTTATTTTTATTTTTTCGCCTCTTCTTTTTTGTTATTTTTTTAGCATTCCTTTTTGTAAACTCAGCGATTAAAAAAGCGTAACATTTTCTTTTATTTAGTTTTCATGTTTCGTTTTTTAAATTTTTTTTTTTCGTTTCTTCTGACTTTCATATGTCCAACAAGATGGATTTATGCATTCATAATAAATTTGCATTTTCGATTTGTACTGAGGAATATGAAAAAGTTTTGAAGAAATATTTTTGCTCGAAATTTAATGGTATGTAGTAAATTTCACGTTCATACATTGTATATAGTTTATAGTGATAATGTTGATCTGTCGATCTGTGTATGTGTACATGTGTATCCAAAGTTCATATCAACTGAAGTGAACTTTTCTAAGTGTTGATTTTACGTTTTTAATAATTTTTAAGAAAGTATTCAAACAATTTAAATTGCAAGAAAAATATTCAACTTGGAGAAGATATATCAAGTGTCAGTTACTTGATATTTTACTACGGGCCAAATTTAAATTCTTCTTCATATAAAGAAAAATATGTAATCAACCAATTTCCTTGAAAATTAATATTTGAGTTCAATGTTATAAAACAATGAACTTTAAATATTTTCGGGAACATAAGAATTCGGAAACCGAACTAGGGAACGATTTTACAATTTTTATCCTTGAAATATTACAAAATCCTTGAAACCTAGTCTATGAGTTCTGTTTGCTACCAGAACCAACAACTTTACAGGCAATTCAGATGGCATTAATTGGACCTTTATTTTAAGAGTCAAAACTACATTTTACAGTTATTTAAGCTAAAAGGGCTCATAAAATTTGGAAGAGAGTTCTTTGGGATTTGGAAGGGGCATTTTCTTAGTCATGTGCAACATCTTTGCTAAATTAGACAAAGCAAGTTGCGCTTGGTTATTGTGCTAACCACATCTGTTTTTTTTTTGCTTTTAATTTATTCATATCGAAATTTTCAAATTTATGAAATTTTTGATCGCCTTTCGTAAATTATTATATATGTATGATACGTATGCACGTATTTACATTTTTTCTCTATTGACTATAAGAAATTTTTTTTTTTATTATTTTTCGTTATTTTAATAAAGATATTGTTTTATTAAGGAATTCCAAATTAATTAACATTGTTCAAGAAAAATAAATATGCATGTGCATATATGTACATACATACGTATATGTAAATATCTACATTATGCACATTATAAATATAAAAAAAAATTATTTTATTTTAAAGGTTTTTAAGTGAAATTCATGGTTATTGAATGTAGAAACGATCATTTTTTTTTACTGCAAATAGTGCCATTTATATTTTTTGTCATTTAAATTACGATTAAATCTTTATTCAGTACCTACATATGTACCTACATACATATGTACATACATATTTTATAAGTATTGAAATAACAAAACTTCGATGCTTCAGTATTTTTAGCTCAGATTATTTAATATGTAAATTATGAATTTTAGTTTCACAAAATATAACCGGTAAAAATAAATACATTGCATGAATCAAAAAATATTAAAGTGCAAAAGCTCTTTTAAACGTATTACTTTATTATTATAAAAGAAATTGTTCAGACAACAATAAGGGTTTAGAACATAATAATGATAACGTAGTCCAAGAAAGTTTGAAACAGAAATGTGTATACATACAAAATGTTTAAACTCGTTCTATTGTTTTACTGTGCTACGGTGATCAGAAAGGGGAAGTAAAATGTTCTACCTAAAGAACATTTTACTTCCCCTTTCTGATAAACTAAACTGCTTTACTAACTGAAACTAAAGACTTCAACACCCTCTCTGGATAACTTCTGTCTAAATTCGCTTAGTTTAAATAATTTCTAAAATAATTAAGATTAAGGCAATATTGATTGAATTTTATTTCGCATGTAACAAATACGCACTTCATTAAAACTGAGTTTTTTTTTTCTATTAGGACAACACCATTAACAATCTGCAACTGTTTACCTAAACACTCTTTCCTAGTTTAATTTCTTTAATATATTTATTCATTTATATTGTTAATGTTTTCATTATTATTGTTAAACCTATCTGTGACTATACATGTTATCTTGTCCGTCACCATCCACATTTAATAGCTAGTTCTTATTAGTTTTGTATATCCGCATAGTCTCATAAATTTATCTTTAGCATATCTTCCTTTTAACTCTTTCATTATAACATTCAAATTATCTTTCGTTATTATTTGATCCATTTCATATATGTAAATGTTTTTCAACTATAGACTTAAAATGTCTAATTTTTAGTCTCCTCGCCCCTTTCATTTCATTCAAATGTTACTTTAATCTTATTCTTACTGATCTATTAGTTTGCCCAATATAAGTAAAATTTGTCGCACATTTTATTTCGTATATCTTGTAATTCTTGTCGTTCTTAAATTTTTCGCTCTAAATGAATTTAATATTTTCCATATATTCCTCCTTTATCCACTATTGCGAAAGCGATGCCAACAACCATAACAAAACTCTATGGGCATCCTACATTTTTTTCCCCTTTTTCTTTCCAGCTTCGTCATAAATAATTGAAGAATAAAATTGAGTTAGTTGTTCCTGTTGATACTTACGATATTGTTGCTGTTCTGATATTGAGTAAATAAAATATTTGATGATTCGATGCATGCTCAAAAATTGATTTTAGGATAGTTTTTAGATAGTTCAAAATATGAAATTGTGTTTTATCTAGTTTTATTTAACAGTTCATGCTATTACAGTTTAGATTTATTTTATATTATTTTATATTATATTAAACAGATCTGTTATGTTGAACAGAAAAAAAACTTTATTTTCTATTTGAAATTTTGTCGAAATTTTTTTAATAAGAAATAATGTGTGCATCCGAATTTTCTCTTTGAGGAACTAGCTTGCGTTAGAATGTGCGTATATGTAAATTACATTCGCACATTCGGAATAAAATTTCTAATATTTAAATTTTAGATTAACATTTATTTTAGATTTGTCATGCATTTTAATTATATTATATAATATATTTGTGTATTACAGAATTATGATATTCAAAAAACTCACAATATTGTCGTTCCTATTTCAAGCCACCGTTTTACAAACAACATTTGATAATTATGCTGAATCAAAAAGGCGTGAAGATGTTGATGAGAATTTATTACGAAAGAGATGTGAATTAATTAATTATGGCTTTAGACTAGATAATGTAAGTATGTATGTACACGTAGTCGGATAACTAACAAAAATTCGAATTTCTTAAACGTGTGGTAAAATACTGAATATAATATTATACCTATAAATATATTTAAATACTTGAAATTTGTTAATTAAATATCAAATAATTTTCTTTCTTTTTTATTTCGAAAGATTTCGTTAGCTCAATGTATTAAAAATCTTACAAAACCGGGACATTGTCCATCTACATCGTATGATAATCGTGAATATTATGGTAAAATGATATGCCTTGAGACATGTCAAGGTCACGATTATAAATGTCCAGGTACACAAAAATGTTGTCATCAAATCGATTGTGGTATGATTTGTCAGGAACCAAATGATTTACATTATGATAATAGTATACCACCAATACCAAGAAACTTAGTTCCAAGAAATTTAAAAAAAAAAGGACGAACATGTGAATTATTTTGGGATGTTCCGTTGATACATGCAAAAAATCATACAGGACATTTTTTATATATAGTTGAATGCCGTTGGCATTTTGGAACTCAATTTTCGCCAAGAAAACTGAGAGAATGGGAATGGTTAGATTATGAGATAACTGGGCATATTTTAACATATAGAACATCAGTGAAAAGGTAAATATAAACGTACAAGATACTTTTTTTTTAAATATTATGCTTGCGAAATCGCAGGCGGTAAGCAGTTGTAACAATAATATATTTTATCGTTAACAGCTGCATAGTTGAATTAACAGTAGCGATGACATATTTTATTTTATATTTCTTATAGAATGCATGCTAGAATAAAATTAAAACGGGGACGTTTTTATCAATTTCGTGTTGCTATGATTAATGAAAATGGATTTAAAGGATATTCTGAACCATCAGCACCATTCCGATTACATGATGGTAAGATAGAAATTAATTTTATTTTAATTTAAAAAGATTTGAGTCTCGTGAAGCTTCAATAAATATAATTTAATTTACTTACTTTTATTTGCTTTTTCTTTCCATTGGAAAATTTTTAGTTTTTCATACATAAATATTAACCTTTATTTTAGTTGCAACTCATATTACAGATCCTAGGCCACCAAAAGCACCGAAAAGTTTTAAAATAACACTGCCGAAATTATTACCAAATAATTCCATATATGCAAAAGTGACATGGTTGCCTAATAAATCAGATATTCCAATTGAAAAATATCATATATCTTGGGCTCTTTACATTAAAGCTGAAAATAATTCTCTTCTTTTAAATGATGCCTTTGTTAAAGAGGTACAAAAAAATTTATATTTTATTATTTAAATAATTACAAACTCTTTAATTATTAAATATATGTATGAGATAAAATTTATTTTTTTTTTTCTATTTTTAGCCAATTCATTCGTATGAATTTTGGAATTTACATCCAAATTCAATGTATTATATACAAGTTCAAGCAATTGCTGTACATGGAAAACGTCGTCCAAAATCACCAAAATCTTCAATTTTTTATAATACAACAATAGAAACTAGTAATAGCTTAGATCATATTAATAGTGAACTTTCAAATAATCAGTATTATAATCGAACAAATCATTATGTTCAACAATCATCAGCTTCATCATCTATAAATTCTAATATTGGAACCTATTCTATTAATTCTACTGGTTATAATATAATTGGAAAATCTAAAAATACATTTTATTCAGAAAATAATTTTCATTCTAATTCACATATGAAACAACCAATTATTACAATCAAATTTTTACCAAATAAAAAATACGGATTACTTGTTCGGGCGGTATTTTCTAAAGATACAAATAATGAAAAATAGTAAGTAAATTTAAAATTTTATTTATATTAAAAAAACTCTTGATTTGATCAAACTAAAAACACAAATTCCAAAGACATTTAATTGGTAAATTAAGAATGTAGCAAAAAAAATCGACTCCATGGCCCGATAACTTCTTTTATTTTGCTGCTTACTTTCTTTTTAATAATGGTAATGCTTTTAATGTGCTTTTTCAATATGAACGCTAATGAGTATACGCATTGGAACTAATATTTATGAATGCATTATTTTATGCGTTTCAGTTTTTAAATATTCTTCAATATTTTAAGTTTGATCTAAATTTTGGACTTTAATCGATATTTTACTGCTATTACAATCTAACTGAGTCTGACTGTATAATTAATTATTCTACAATTAGCGTACAAAATTATTTTAAGTATTCTGCAGACTTTGTTTTTATTAAAAAAAAATTAATAATTTTTTAGCTTACTTGAACTATGTCCTGGAAATTTTTCAAATTGTGAATCAAAGGAATATGAAGCAGCTAAAACAAAGGTAATAATCACTTAAATATACATTTTTTTTAACAACTTATTGTTTTAATGTATCAATTGTTAAAAATTGAAGAAATTTTTCAAAAATTTTCTATTTAATTTTTCGGCAATCATTAATTTGATCTTCATTCTCTAAAACGGGATTATTCAAAACACAACTTTTAGTTAATTAAATCAACAAAAAAAAAAAAAACATTAATCTTTTAATGCATTATAAAAATTTCGAATTTTACTTATATTAATTAATATATTTTTAAAATTTTAAATATTTTTTAGAAGGATCAAATCGATTTCAGTCAATTGAAATTCAATAAACAATACACATTACGATTAATTGATACAACGAATCATATTGATGTTAAAGGAGATGGAATTGTACTTACAAAAACATTTTTAACTCCAGCATGTTCAGAATGGTTAAAAAAGCATCCAAATTTGAAAACAAATTTTAAATGTTAAACAATTGAACCTTGCTACTATATATCTTTTATTTTATATTTTGTTTGAATAAAAAAAAAAAAACTGTTATAATATTTAGAATAATGAATTTTAAAAGAAAAATGAAAAATACTCATGCGCCATATAATAAGTTAATTTTATAAACTGAATATTCCTAAATCTCAGAATTCAAATGACTGGGAACCCACTACTAATTAAAATATATTATATATTTTTTAACAATAACTTTTTATTATATTATAAAGAAACTATTAAACATATCGATTTTAAGTAAAACTTATACTTAATAGTTTTTTAGGATTTTTTTTTTCTTTAAATATACATACCAGTAGAATTAAATTTAATATAAATTATAACGAATGCAAAAAAAAAAAATAAAAACAAATTCAAAGTTAATTTTGTAAGGCATGAAAAAAGGTAAAATAAAAAATATAAAACACTATTTTTGACAAAATTGAGTTAATTACTCAAAACGAAACAGTATTTTGTAAATAAACGTATATTTTACGCATTTTTAAAATCAAATCTTTTATTTTTATTAATTCATATTTTGTCCTTAAGCAAACTGACATTAGGTTTTTATAAAATAACCCTACATATATTAAGCGACATAAAACAAACAACCGGATTAATACCGGCACTGAATTCTTAATAAAACATATTAACAAACGTTTATGTGTATATGTGATTTTTGAGTTATAGGGTCTTAAATTAGGTAATAATTTCAAATCTAATAAGACCGAAATTAAAACAACCAGGTTACTCTCAGAACAATATTAATTTAAATTGATTAAAATAGTTAAAAAATAGTTTAGTTTATTTTTTATTTAATAAAAAATTATTAAACGTAAGATTTTGCTAAATTTACAATTTAAAAAATAAACACAATTACCTATCTGATTTTAGTTCTATTTTTTTTGTAACCCGCAATAGTGCGGGTTTCTTCTTCCTTACTCACCTATTTGTTATAACTATTCGATCATATTATTCAACATAAACTAGAATTTTGAATTTTTGGATTATACTTAAAAACAATTTTTTTTAGCTAACTTGATTGTTATACTACACATCAACTGTAGAATAATCTCTGGTCATATTAACTTTTATATATATAAAATAATATTATTACTATAATCAAATTTAATAATAATAACAATTTTAAATCAAATTTGGCTTCATTAACAGTAAACTCTACTATATTAACTTCAGAGATCACCTTGTGCATTAAGTGACACGGTAAACACACGGTTAAAGTCTACATTTATGAGCATACATACATAATGTATTTTAAATCTTTATTTACATTTTACAGTATGAGATCGAAAATACAATAAAACATTTTAAATCTACAAAAATATTTTGACTAATGGACAACATTACATTGTATTTTTTTTAATAGTTATCTAACGACAGAAAACAAAAAAACTGGTTATTAATCATAAAATTAATACGAACTAATTAGCTACATATTAACAACTGGTATTATCGTATTTCAAATTTTCAAGTCTGTATACCTACCTACATATATTTTAAAATTCACTGCATTTGCACTTTTTTACTAGTTAAGATAAGACATTTTTCTTAGATTCATATAATGAAAAATTTTATTATTAATATAATCGTCGTTAAGTTTATTATAATTTTACAAAGCTGTCAGAGCAGCACTAAACCACAATTTCAGCAAGTAATCAAAACACCATGTCTGACTGGAGCATTAAAAATCTTTAAAGGTGAAGAAGGTGCACCCGGCAAACGTAATAAATGGCAAGGAACTGTTTTCTTAGAGAAATGGCCAAATGAAGACCATATTATGTTAGAGTTACATTTAAGCCATAATGCTAATTTAAGTTTAGTAAGTGAAATATGAGTTGACAATTTTTGTTTATAATTATAAATTAATGATAAATTTTTTTAGGGAGACAAGTCCAGTAAACTAATATCAACAAAATATATTCACAGAATTAACATGACCGAACCAACATCAATTGTAAAACAAATTCACTTTGAGATTGATGGAAAACCAGATCTAGGATTTCCTGAACCAATTGGGCTATACCTAAATGGTTTTGATATCTGTAATTGTACTAAACAGTGTTTTAATAAAGATGATCATGACCCAATGATAAATAATATGTATGCTACCAAAGTTTCAAACTCAGTTACAACTTCTAAGGCATGTACAAGTTTAAAAATTAATTTATATATTGCTTACTTAATTTATGTACATACATTATTTGAAAATATTTAAATCTTTAGAGTGAACTAAATAATGTAAAGAAAACTGACTCATTTATGATAGATGTTAAAGTTGACAATACAAATAATTTATGTGGTCAAAGAAAAAAGTTTCATAAAACTTTGATACAAAATGGATATGATGTGCAGCCTGGTGAATATCCTTGGCATGCAGCTATATTTTTGCGCAAGGAATCTGATTCTCCGAATACTGATTATATTTGTGGCGGATCTCTAGTTTCAAAAAGGTTTAATGATATTACATTTAAATATTTCTGAAAAAATTATATTTTACATCTAATAAAAATTAAAAATTTGTATGTTTAGCACAGTAATTACAGCAGGTCATTGCGTCCACGAAAATTACCACATTATTATATCACAAAGGTTTCTGGTGAAATTAGGATTGCATAATCGCCTCTTGGCCTCATCAAATACTCAAGAACTCAGAGTTTACGAAATTTTGGTACCACCCATTTTTGACGTGAAGTCAAGTAAAAATGACATTGCATTACTAAAATTATCTAATTATGTTCAATTTAATGACTATATAAAGCCCGTATGTTTATGGCCAGCAAAGTATATTGAATTGAATTCAATAGTTGGAAAAACAGGAATGGTAATTGGCTGGGGCTTAGATGAAAAGTCTCAACTCTCTAATATATTAAAAGCGGCAAAAATGCCTGTAATTAGTCAGATAAATTGTTTGGAATCTAATAGAGCATTTTTTGGAGAGCATTTGTCAGTTAATAATTATTGTGCAGGTTATCGGAATGGAACGAGTGTTTGCAATGGTGACAGTGGTGGTGGTATGGTATTTGAAATAAATGGATTATTCTATCTGCGCGGTATAGTGTCGTTAGCAGAAGCGATACCTGAAATTAATCAATGCAATCCAAGAGAGTATGTTCTATTTACAGACGCTGCAAAATTCTTAGACTTTATACAAAATAACATCTAAATTAATTTGTAATTATTTTCAATATATTTTTATAAAGTGCTTTTAATGAATAATTTATATTAATGTAAGTATATATATATAAGTTTTAAATACCCTAGTTTTTGAAAATTTTATATAATGTTGTGTAAAAAGCTTTGAATAATAAATCTCACCATCTGAGGAAAAATATCGATTTTTGTTTAATAAAATCTATTCTATTATGCCTTTCAAATAATTTGCAGTCTTGATTGCACGAAAATCGCCCCTTAGTTGAATAAATTGACGTATAACAGACTTATCCAAATTATTCTAAAAATTGAAGATGATATTTCTAACTGCAATTTCTAGATTAAAATTTGTTATAAAATACTTCTATATCTCAATTTTTTGTCGTGTACTTTATTCACTTTCACTTTAACTTTTTCGATAGATGTCAAATAAAATTTTTGAAAATATTAACTAATCTTATTGTATTCGAAAACAAAGTACTACCAGAATAACTGACTAAACTTCGTTTATTTGTGAAAGAAGCGAAATTCATTTTCTTCTCATCCCGTGTATAAAAAAATGAGATATAGAATTAAACCCATAAATACTCACCAGTGTATCTCCGGTACACGCTTCTAATATATTTTCTGGTTTGACTAAAAGTAAGTTACAGAGAGCGTGGAGTGTATCAAAAAGTTGTGTAACAAGTGAACTGTTCAGTTCTCTTGCTAGTTTGCGATACTCATTTACATCACATATTACGCACATAGCACCAACAATGTTAAATTGTAAGCTTTGTAGATGTTCATAAATAACACGATGTAAACGTATCCCAAATTCAGTCAAAACAGTTTGCAAATTTTCTCCATCCAAACATTTTTTGATCTGTTTAACAGCGGGTTGTAAAGTCTGCACAACATGCAAACAAACCTTAAAAATAAAAAGATAAGATGAAGTAGTATCATTTTTCATAATTTTTAATAATTTTTTTTAGAACTTACTTGAGATGACAATGTGTCCACATCATTTTCAGGTTTGTAGTCTGTTTTTTTCTGTTCAGTTTGCAAGTAAATTTTTACCCAGCCTATAATGGAATTCAAAACGCGATCTAAACCTGTGTCTAATTTATTTTCAATTTGTTCTAACATTAGACGTTTCTTTTGTAAACAGTCAGCTAATTTAGTGGTATTTCTAAAAAGTAAACGCTAGTTTCACAAACTTTATTAGTTTTTGAATAAAATTATTTACTTACTTGACACAGGGAACTATGCTAGCTGTGTATAAGTTCTCCAATAAATGAACAATAGTGTTCGATTTTTGTATAACATCAAAAAAGTATATTTGAGGAAAAACTTTGCTTTCACCCAATGGTATAGCTTGTAATCCTAATTCTAAAGCATAATTTACATGTTCATGCATCAAATACAATAATAAAATATCAGCTATTTTTATCACATTTCCAGCTAAATCGTTTTCTTTCGAAAGAATTCTACAACGTTTCAATGAGGTTTTAGTTTGTTGAAGTAAATTTATAGCGAGTTCCTCAGAGAGAAATGTCTCTCCTCCGTAGTCTTCAACCTGCGCAATATTTATGTTCAGACGATTACTTAACGATGCTTGTACTTCTCGTTTTAAATCTTGAAATCTTTCTGTTTGCTTTTTTTGATGTTTTTTACTGTTGTAATATTTTTCCAATTCGTTTGTACACTTATTTTTTAAACAACGCGTTTCGGTTTCAAGGTAAATTGCAATATCTTTTGCAAAAATATTTGCAGTTAGTTTTGTAAGTAGATCATCATCTGAACTTGGCATATATTTTTGTAAATCTGTTGACAATTTCACAGTTCTGAAAGTGCGAACAAGAATATATAAGATATTAAAATAAAGATTAGATAATTTTCAAAAAAACTACATGTATACTAACCTTGAATACATTTCGTGCAATGTTTTCAAATATTTTTCATCATCTTTTTTATCCTCCAGTTTCATTCTTGCATATTCATTTAATTTTAATTGATAAATATTCAATATAAACTTTGCCATTACTTGATCTGGACTTAGAAAAACCTTTTTAATAATTTCGTTATGCTCCTCACACATAGGCACAATACCGAAAAAAATATCTTTTCCACCATACTGGGTCTAAAATATAAAATTCAATGTAAGTATTATGTTGTTAACACAGTGCAAATTAAACTAAGCGATCTTTTTTAAATACCATTTGGCTTTGTTCTATATACGCATTAATACATTGCGAGTATCCCTTAAAATTTAATAATATTATAGCAATTTTTTTCATCTTTTCAATGTCCTTCGCTTTTTGAGCTGTTGCAAATTCTTCTATTAAACCTCTTTCGATTTCATCATATTTTCTCTCAATTTTCCTTTTGGCCTCTTCAAATTTACTTGCTGGTAAGTCTTGAGATATTGTATATAATTTTTGTATAACATCGGCTGCTTCATAAAGTCTTGACGGATCAGTAAATAAATCGTTAACTATCGGGCCCGGCATCAAAAATTCTGACATGTGATTTAATAATTTTTGTGCTTCAACCGTTCTACTGCGTGGTGTGTTGACATTTTCAAGTTGTTCTCCCAAATGAATAATCTTTCCAGCTACGGAATTAATTTTTTCATCTAACTGGTGAAACCATTCTACAGAAGTCTAAATTTGTTCATCATAAACCAAAAATATATTTAAAAATTATTAATTCTCAATGTGAACCTATCTACTTATGATAAAAAGAAAAAATTAAACACACCAGTTCAAGAAAAAATTCGATACAAACCTGATGTCGCTCTTGTAATTTGCTTACACTTCTGGCATGAACTTTTTGCTCTTCTTTTAAAGATTCTTCAATTCTTTCACACTTGCGTTGTTGCTTTTCTTGCAAAATTTTCAAATCTTTAATAGTATTAACAAATGTTTCATGAAGAATTTCGGGATCAAATTGAGATGATCCCACTTCATTATTTGCTCGCCAAGTTAAACGCTCAACAAAGTCATTGGCATCGAACGGTTCCTAAATTTTAAATCTTGTTTATTAATATATGTAATTTTATTTAACATATAATATTGTAATGTATTACAAGTTCGAGCTCTTCCATATACTGTTGCATCATTTTTGCACTTTTAAATGAAAAATAAATATGTACAAATAAAAATCTTAAAGAAAACTAATTCACATATCTCTTAAAACACTCTGTTTACGTTAATTTATTAAGTTTTTAGTTTTTGTTCTTCAATCTGAATATACAGAAACTAATTCCAACCAAACCTTAGGGGAATTCTTTTTGACATCTCAAAAAAATGAGGAAAAATCCAAAACTTTAAATTCACAATAATATGTATTTGCAGCAGTATTTTTGAAATTCTCTCAATTCAAATGAATGTCTTAACTCATAACTTTTCAGTGCGTTTGCTAACATCGCCGCTGTCTATCTTGAACGCTTTGGCTAGAATCGCCATAAACATAGAATCCGAAAACGCAAGTTCATCTGCTTTAATTGTACATAGTTTCTGTACATTTTTATACATATATATTTATAACAATTCTCTCAACATTTTTTTCTCCATAATTCCCCGGAATAAATGTTTCTTTTTACTGATGCTTCATTTTCTGTTGTATAAAAAATAATATTGTTCGAACATTTATTCTCCTATAGTGTAAACGAGTTGTAGTATTATTATGTAATTTTAAAGCAATTGTGAATATTTATGAATACCCATGAGGCAGAAAAAAAGTTGAAGAATACTTACCCAGCATTTACACGTACAAGTTACTTGCAAGAAAGTTGCAATACATACAAAAATTTTACTAACACATTGAAATATTTCTACTTGCTTGTTTACTTGCAGTTCAACTTGCAAGAAAATTTTGCTGCCAGTAATTTGAGCAAGTAATTTGACATATTGAGAAATTCACAAAAAAAAATTTGTTGTTTTGATTTTTTTTTTTTTTTAATTTAAAATTTTTGAATTTTGTTTTGAAAAAATTAAACTTAGCAAACTTAGCTAGTTGTTTTCTTCTCAAAGACATTTTCAAAAATTAACTTGCTAAACGCCTACGTCATAATAGCAAGTAATTTGACATTTCGAAAAACTAATTGACAATTAATATTATACAAACTTGCATGCAAGTAACTTGTATGTGTAAATGCTGGGTTATAAAAATCACCTACCTAATTTATCTGTTGATATTTAAATTCTGCAATGTTTACTAATTTTCCCAGCTGACTATGTTATTTAGTTATAATAAAAAATTTGCAGATTTGTCGTAATTCACGAATGTGCAATGACAATCAAAATATACTTCATTAACGTACTTGTACAACCAACAATTTTTTATATGCTTTTATGCAGAATTTTGACATTTACACATTTCTGATTCAAAATATAAATTGGAAATGCATAAACTATGCATTGTTCGCATGTTTTCAAAATACATCTAACATATTTTACTGCAAAACTTTGAGGAAAATGTTACATGAATTAAATTTTAGCTCGCATTGTAGTAAATAAAATAAAACAAAAAATAAAATTTTTGAAGAGAAATTTTTGAAAAATTTCGAGTTTTTTAAAAAAATTGAAAAAAAAAACTTTGATAAGTTTTTTCTTGAAAACTGTGGTTTAAATGTATTGATTGTAGTGCCGACCGAAAAAATAGCAACCCATGGCCTGTAAAGCAAGGTTTACAGTTACTCTATGTCGCATGGTTTTGAAGTTATAACATTTATTTATAAGCAGGAAGAACCTGATATCTTTATCTTCAACAAGCTGTAGTTCGAAAAAGAGTACATATATCTGCACCCCTTCTCATTCAAACAACTTTTTGCTGAAAATTGATCAAAGAATCATCCCTGAAATTATTTGACAATACGAAATACCCTTTATATTGCGATATACTGTGTTTATGAAGAAGCCTTAAGTACGTATAGACACACATACTAAGGCTTATTCTGAGTCATAAGTGAAAGTGATATTTATTGCGAAAGCCCCCTGTTTAATAAAATACTGATGGAAAGAATTAAATACATTTTTGTTTTTCTTTAAAATGTTTAGTTCATAATTTTAATTTGTTTTTTCTTAATTTTTTTCTTTATTTTTTTTTTTGTACGACACTAAATAAACAAGAGACAAAATTTTTTATTTTTAGAACATATCATTTTTAACAGAATTATTATAATTTTGATAATCAATTTTTTTAATTTTTAATATATATAGCTATAATTTAATATTTAATAACTTTTATTTTTCTTTTTTTGTAATTTGATTTTTGAGAAAATTCAAAAATCTTTCTATCTAGTCTTTAACTAATTAATTTTGTTTTTAAGTTTTTGGTATGAGAAAAAGATGAAACAAACAGAAATATAAACAAATTTTGAATAGATTTTTAGAAGGCCGCATGTTAGGAGAGAGAAAATTCAAAATTGTACTGCAATATTGATATATTTTTGCAAAGCATAAAAAACTCTAATTAACAAATTTTATAAAAATTAAAATTTAAAAACGAATGGATAAATTTTGTAAATAAACACCGTTACCGTACAATTTGAGCCCTAAATTTACACACGAACTTTAGGTTTTTTTTTTTTTGATATTTCTTTAATGTAATATGTAGATAAAAGAAAAAAGAAAAATAAAATAACTAAAAAAATAGCATACACCTAACAGAATTAATGTTTGATAAAACCTTTTTGTTTGTATTATTTATATAACTAATTAATCGTTATTATTATATTTTCATTTTTGCTTTTTTTTTTTAATATATGTATATATTTTTTTTATCATTCAATCGTAAAAACTTTTTTTTTAAATATTTTTCAATTTTTTTCCTTATTTTGGAAACTTATCTGTGGTGTGTACTATACTGTTGATGATGATGATGATGATGATGATGATTACGATGATGTTGTTGACTTGGTCCGGGTACAGGAATATTACTAGTATTACTACTATTAGTTTGATAATTGGTTGATGCAACTGCGGCTGCAGCAGCAATTGTTGCAGTTGTGGGATTCAAAGAACTATTAAAACGTACAGAAGTTGATGATGTTGTAGTTAAAATTTGATGTTGCTGTAATTGTTGAGATAATGGTAAACTTCTATTACGTACAGCAGTTGTAGATTGTTGCTGTAAAGGAGCTGTAGGTGAAGCAGACGAATTTGAATTGCTACTTGGATTACTGACCGTAGTTGTACTTATATTAATTCCATCATTTGATAATAAAGAACTAGATGCTGATACAGCCACTACCGCCACTGATGATACTGATGATGATGCAATTGAAGAAAATTTTTGGGGAGATGATGTATTGATTAGGGTTGTTACCGGGGATACTACTGCCACTGTCGTTATTGTTGTTGTTGTTAAACTATTACTATTTGTTGCAGTGGCAATGGCTTGCAAATTACACAAATCGGTTACAGAACGTAAACTAGCTGATAAACCTTCACTAGACGCTAATGATGTTGACAAAGGCGAAGTTCGATCAACCGAACTAGCAATATCTTTGAAAACATAGAAAATATTTTGGCTTTTTAAAAAATTATGCTTAAACAATCTAAAAATTTTTTACCAATTCTTTCAGATTCTGGAGACAGAGCATTACTTATAGCACGATTTCGGTTTAATTCTAGCATTTTTTGCTCCATTTGCAAAATAATAGATTTTTGAGCTTCATACTTCTTATTTAATGCCTGCAATAAAAAATTCGTATTCTAATCACAATTTTAACAACTTTCCTCTAATAATTACCGCGAATTTTTCCTCGTACTCATCTTTAACAGCTTTTAATAGGCGTTTCTGATCAGTGAACATCATTTCCTTATTAACAAGTTGCTGTTGAAGCTCTGTCAATCTATACTTCGCGCTTTCGAGTTGCGGAATTTTTTCTTCTAAGTTTGAACGTAACTCTAAAAATATAACATTTTTTTTAATAATACAAAATAATAATAAAGTTAAATATTACCATGGATTTCCAGTTTGAATATCTCTTTTAATTGTTTTAACTCTTCATCTCGTGCTCTCAAACTTTCTAACTCACTAAAGTGTTCTTTACACTTCACTTGAACTTCTCCCATTATCATAAACTCTGACTGCAATTTCGCTAAATCTTCTTTATATTGCAAACCTAATTCAGCTTGATATCTTGTGTTTTCTAGATCTTGTCTTGTATCGAAGAATTCACCCTTTAAATTATCAATTTCGTTTTTGTAATTCTGACAATTTTTAATCTCACTATGGAGTTTCTTTTGCAATTCTTCAAAATTAAAACGCAACTGCTTATTTTCATCTAATTCATTTTGATACTTGTTTTTCCACATTGTTGCTTCTTTCAGCAATTTTTGTTCTTTTTCATTAAAACTCTTACGGGTTTCTTTTGATTCCATTATTAATGTCGCATTTTCTTTCTCTAAGTGTCTCAATTGATCACGAATACGATCATTTTCTAATTCCAAGTTTTTCTTATCTCGGCTTCGACCCATAAGGCGTCTATTTCTTTCGGCATGTATTTCTCTTCTATATTCAGCGTACTGCAGCTGTAAATACAATAACTGAATTTGCTCTCTATATTCATCATCTCTTGTTTTTTGCTCCGTAGGATGTTTAGTTTTGACAATTACTTCCAAAAATTTATCCAAAATTTCCCTAGGCTGTAATATTTCTTGTACTTGAAAGGATTTACGCATTTTAGTTTCTTCCTCAAATAATTCTAATAAATTGTGCTCATAGATATGAGGCCATTGTTCTATAGTTTGCGTGGCAACGCAACTTTTGGTGATCGCATTCACTGATTTTTCTTTTATTAAATTGTGTGCCCCAGTAAATTTTGATATCAATGTTTTATTTCCTGCAAAATTGGCTGTTGTTACATCTTTGCGATCTTTCTTTTGTTGAATCCGGTTCAGTTTAAAATGTGTGGCAGCTGACATTACATCGTCTCCAGAAGGGCTGCTTGAATCATTACCTCCCCCACCACCAGCCATACCAGTGAAACTACTATTCCCACCTTGGGTGATTTTTGATGCACCATTTTGCTGAGCTCCACCTTCGTTAACAAAAATATCCTGATCGGCTATATTAATACTACCATCTTCATAATTATAATAGTTAAAATTCACTATTGGCCAAGATCTTGTTCGCCGAAGTTTCGCATTCGCAATTACAGTTATATATGGAAAATTTTCATTTGCTAGAGAAACAGCATTTATTGGAATAGTTCCACAACTTAAGTAACAACTATTATCATTACTGCAATAAGTAGAAATACAAGAACGTCGTTTTAAATGATTCACGAGCATTTGCATAGATGTGTGGGCAGGCACATGCAGACCTCCTACAGAGCATAATGATTGTTCGTTTTCATCACATTCACCATATTCATTTGAAATATCCTAGGAAATAAAATTGCGATTGAATTTCTTATTGCAAATATGTATTAAAGTATACCTGTAAAGTATCTGAATGATGTGGACCAGTATCACCAAATGCTCCACTACTTGCACATATACCTTGTTGACTTGTTAAAGTTGTAACTTCCAAATCTAACTCTGTAGATAATGTTGGTGAATCTAATGATTGATTAGCCGAAATGAATTTTCCAGAATTAGAGATAGCACTTTGCACTGTTCCAATATTTAAGTCCTTTGTAAGTGTATTAGAATATAACCTTTGTCCACTGCCAAATGTGTTTGAAAACGAGCGATCATTTATTATTTTCATAAATCGTTGAGATGATGGATTTGGTCCAATATTAGTAGCAGTAGTGGTAGTTGTTGTTGTTGAAAATTTAACATGACTATTAATTGCAAAGTTTTGTTCTGTGATCATTGTTGGGAAGTTGAAAGGAGATTGCTCCTTACGCATTGGGGATGATGGTTGACTTGTAGGTAAGATAGCTCTCACTGCTCCAGGTTTGTTAATCATTGATCTTTTAATCGAAATATCTTTTAGCGGCGTTGTTTCAGGAGTGGCTTCAACCGCCGCTTCAGGTGGTGATGAGCCGCTTACGTTTAATAAACTGTTTGTTGTCATAGAGTGATCAGTGCTTGTTGAAACAGATGGTACTACATAGTGGGGTGTAGGTGTATGCGGTATTGCACCTGTAGGAGGTGGTGTAGCTAAAATTTCTAATTGAGGGCTCCAAATTTGACGCTCTGAAAATTTAGATAAATCTGTGATATTCTCACGTTGCATTAAATAATGAAGAGGTGAAGAAACACAAGACGTAATTGGTTGGAATGGAGTGTTACGCACCGATGCTGTTTGAAGCACTTGAGTAGGCAATAATGCATTTTTATATTTTACTGATGAAGCTAATAAATTATCGGTATTATCCTAAAATTGAATATTTAGAACTTATTAAGTGTAGAAATCTTCTCAAAATGTTATATACATATGTATATTAATTTTTCAAAATTACCTGATTGTAAAATGCTAAAGATAGTTTCGCGCACTCAATAACTACATCATGTGGTTGCATATCTCTCCAACGCCCTATATTTGCTTCACTTTCTTTTGATCCCGTAATTAATAATGGATGAATACGTACAGTTTCTAACAGCGGCTTTATTGTATGATGATATATTGCACCTTTTTCTTTATTGACAAAGTCTTTTAGAAAACTAATAAAATGCCAAGGATACATTCCGTATAGTCGATGAAAAAGCATATGTAAACCAATTTGTAAATGAATTATTTGATATTGCGTTAATCTATTAGGATTTTGAAAATTCCATGAAGCTAAATGCCCAAAAACATCAAACAATTCCGATAAAAGATTGGTTGAGGATGGTATAATTGGTAACAGTGTTATAATACAAAGCAATGCACTCATTAATGGAACTATTTCTTTCTCACTCTAGATTAAAACATGTAAAATATTTAAAAAAAAATTTAAAGGAAGAAAAAATTGAATATTACCTGTAAAAGTTTTAAAATATCCTTCATTAACTTATGTTTGGCGACTTTGTGTAACCATGTTGGATGCTTTCGAACTATAAAACCAAATAGAGTTAAGGCGGCTATTCTATTATGATTTCGCATCCATTCGGATAAACGATCGAAAACATAATTATCATGTGGCTGTTGAACTTTAACTATTACTTCAAGTATTCTAGCAGAATTTGTTTTCAGATAGTAATCCATCATTCCTTGTACTAACCATGGATCTTTTGCTAAAATGAGTTTTTGTTACATACATAAATATTTACATACATTAAATTGTTCATAGTTTTTTTGTTTTTTTATAAGTGATTTGACATATTCGAGCAGTATATTTATTATTATTTTATAATATTATTAAATCATGATTAATCAAATTAAAATTTGTTAAAAAAACTTTAACAAAAATGACTTGCTATCAATTAGAAACAGTAGCATTCGCATTACAAATATCTGCTTCAAATCAGATACGATCAGAAGCAGATTTATTGAATAAAAAGTGAAATTTGAAATCACACACAAAATTATCAATCCCAGTAGTGATTGTAATAAGCTTTTGAGCGAACCACAATTGAAACTATTTAAATACCTTTAGCAGATTATTGAAACGGTTGAAAATGGAATTTACATGGATTTTTTTCAACACATCATTTTAAATGCTTAATGTCATTTTACAGCTGTTATATTTTGTTTTCTTCCACTTTTCTGTTATTTTAGGTAAATTGGGTGTGGGCACAAAATATAAAACAAACTTTAATTCTATAATGAAAATTTGCATTTAAATTAAAATGGCTTCTCCTAATAAAATTTCTAAATCCAAGAGAAATGTAGAAAAACTTCAACGAAAATACTTGCAAGAACAACAAAGAAGAATCAAGCCCGGTGAATGTATTAAATACATTAAATGTGTGATTGAAGCATACTCATTAAATTCTTGTCTAATTTCTGAAATTCGACAGCAGTTAGACAGCAACAACATAAAATATTTAATAAATTACGACAAAGTTGAAAGTATTATCTTTTGGGAAAGATCTGATCAACAAACACTTCTAACAACATCAGAAACATTGGTCTCTGAGAAATTCACCAGGGAACCTAATATTTTGCACATCATTAAGGCTGAAGATTTTCTTGAAGGAGTTCAGAGTAAAAGTATAAGACAAAATACTGAAAAACTTATAAAAAAGTTTCCAAATTCAATTGTCACAATCATTATATATGGAATCAAGAATTTTAATACAAATCCAAATAAAAAAGAAATTGAAACAGTACTTCTAGAAATTCAAATAAAATATAATTGTTGTCACAGGTGCTATGAAACATATACAGAAATTGCTCAAGTTATCGTCCAATTTAGTAAAGCAGTAGCAGAAGCGCCATTTAAAATGGAACAAATAGAAAAATTTCGAGATATCGATACTTTTCTTTTGAACGATAATAAAGATTGCGTACGAGTTGAAGGGACAGCGGGACTTTCAAGACTTTGGCAGAGTCACCTAACCCGATTACCATTAATAACTTTAGAAGTTGCTGAAACCATAATAAATGAATATCCTAATCCCGCAAAATTAATCGAGGCATACTCCAATACAACAGAAGAAGAAGGTAAAGATTTATTAAGTAATCTAAAAATTCGTAGAGGATTTGGGCCATTACAAGCAAATAAGAGACTTGGACCCGAATTAAGCAAAAAGATATACATTTTATATAATAGTTTAAATTCTACCGATACCTTGTGACTGTGTTTTATGCTTAATGTATAAATATTTTAAATTTGATGAAATAAAAATTTATGAACTTTTTAAAACGCATTTTTGTTTATAGTTAAGATGTAGCAGAAATTACAGAATTTAAAGACAATAGGATGTAACATTATTTGTCCACTTAAAAGAACGAATAAATTGGCAAGAAATTTGATACTTTGTAAAAAAACTTCCAATTCTCTGCCCTTATTTGCTTTTGCTCATTCAAAATCAAAATGCTTCCAAAGAAGTTGTGAAACATTTTTAAACACAAATTGTAAAAAAATTTCTTTGAACTGAAACAATTCCACTTGAGCCCCAGTCATTTTCACAAATGTATCTTAACTAATAAAATAAATTTTGACATTAATATTCAGTTACTTACAGTGTATAAAAAATTCAGCTATTTTTTGCTTCGATTCATCATATTCTTGTACATTACTGGATTCCAAACCGTTGAAAAGTTTTTCTGGATCCATAATTTTTTATAATAAAAATCATAAAGAAAATGGAGGTAGTAATTTAATGAAATAAGCGGTGTCCACAATTTACACAAATTTATATATTGACTCCCCTTCAATTTTTTTCCTACGATTTTGCTTAATTAAAAAAATTAATTTAATATGGCAAATTTAAACAAATCTCTATTAAACTTTTCCATCGAACAATAATAAAATTACGCACTTTTTGTTCCCCTAATTACCATAATTTTATTCTTTTCTTATGAGAATTTTTTTTCGATGATGAAACTTTTTTACTTTAATTTTTTCTATTTTTTTAGTGCTATAACTTTATATTATTGTAAAATATTTACACTAAATTCATCACTACATTTTACAATATTAAAAAAAAATATATAATTCTATTATGGTACAATAAAATGTACAAATGTTTAAATAAAAAAAAATTACGAGGATTAAAAAGAAAGGAAACACATTCACACCATATTACCAAATTTACAAATAAAAACTTAGCCAAAAAATTAGCAATTATTTCCAAAAAAAGCCATTCTTCTTTCTAAGTAAAAAATTGCTACTTATAGATTGATTATTTGTTTAAACGTCAATGATAAATCATTAGAAATGTTCAGAACTGAATTATATTCAAGTTTTTTGAAAATCACTTATAATAAATTGATTTTATATGCTTGAATATTTCCTAAAAGATTTGCGAAATAATTTCTTACAAGTGCTAAAAAGCATACAATTTAATTATTTTACTGCTAACAACCAAATTTGACAAATATAAGTGTGAATGGCAACGCTACATAGCAAGGGGCCCAGAAAATTTTTTGTTTAATAAAAAAAAGTTTTTGTACCGTTTTGCAGACTTTAATGACAACTCACATTTCACCTTTTTTTTAACATTGTTAAAACTCAGATGACATATTTGACAATTATTTAACGTAATGGAAATTTTGTGGATGTGTAATATAATAAATAAATAGGTATGTTCACATGAGTATGAAAAAGAATTTAAAACCCATTTAAATATACATGGTCGTTTCACGAGATTATATTAAATTTTAATTAACTTTATTATAGTAAAATATAAAAAAATTTGTCTCGTAAGCATGCTTTTTTCACCAAGAATAAAGGTTTAATTTTTTTTCAAGTGGTATTAATTTTAATATAATATACTTTGACGTTGCCAAGCAATAGCTCAGTTCGTAGTAGCTTCGTAAATAGATAGCGTCGAGGCTTATTAAGTGCATATTAAAATTTAACTGTGTTTTCTTTTATTTTTTTTTCGTGAAGTACACATTGTAAATCACAAATAAATTAAACATCTATGGAGCAAAAATGAAAATGGCAACAAAAACTTTTAAAATATTACCAAATAAAATTACATAATATAATATGTATTAAGTATAACTGAAGAATAAACTGGAATAATGTTTTATCAAAACTCCTATCAAAAGACTTAAACATTTCTAAAAAGAATTTGAGGAAAATTAGATTCTAATATCAAGTTTACTTTATCCAATCTAGCCACGCGTTTATCATATTTATTAACAAATTAAAAAAAGTGAATAATACAAATGAATGAGTATCTATATCAATGATATGAATGTGCAATATCTGTCTACATATTTTTTTTATAATGTATATAAGAATAGTATAGAGAAGCAAGGCTGTCTTTTGGCCGCGATTTGAAAACTTATGTTCCAAGCTCCTTCTTTTGTATTTCATACTTATTGAATAGATGTACTTTAGTTATAACATAATAATTGTATAAATGTAGTCATTATCACTTTTACTTATTATATGAATACAAATGCTTTAAAAAGTAAATTGAAAGTTTATATTTATTTTCAATAAATATAAACAAGTCAGGTCACATTTTTCTTCTGATTTAGAACAGTTAAATTTATTAAAAATTACATATCTAAGTGATTGATTTGAGAGCAAAAATGCAGTACAAAAATAAACGTATGTAGTAATAAAACCATTATAGCAACTCTGTTTTGAATTTTGATACATATGCACATACATATATAATTTGGATGTACAGATTGTTTGCAGGGAAAAAATAAACGCAATTCTGCAAATGTCAAAAACTCTAGCAGTTTTTATAAATACTTGATTTTTGTTGAGTTATATTTTTTATTTTAAGTTCCTTTATTTTCTTGATAAAATTTCTTATAAGTCTGGCTCTTTCGAAAAATAAATTTTTTCAATTATTGTCATTAAAAGTTTCAATTGAATTTTCGTACTAAATTAGTTCATAAAAGAAAAATTATTAAATAAATCACTTCAAAATTAGTTGTTGAAACCTTAAAAGAAGATTTACTAGTTACGAATATCAAAAATGGCTGAGGAAAACTTAGATGTTAACGATATGAATCGCTTCATTGAAAATTTATTTGTTATTGATGTTGGTGCTAATTTGACGAATAAAAAAGTATGAACTAAAAAGTTTAAATCAATATATGTTTTAAAAATTATTTTTGTTTTACAGTATAGTCGTGATTTGGAATCTGTAGTGCAAAGAGCAAAAGATTCAGGTCAGATGAATAATTTTTAAGATGTTAATTTATTAAAATACTTTCAACAATTAAAAATAGATAAAAAGAAAACGGAATTTCAAAGATGAGTAATGATTTTATTAGTGTACAAAAAGCTTAAAATGATACGCAGAAGAAGTAATGAAAGAAGATTTTTCAATATCAGTTGAATTAAAATTTGGCAGCACACAAACTAATATAATTAATTGCGTACATGTGTTTAGAAAAACATAAATCGCCTTGTCAGTTTAGTTTACATATATATTTCTAACAACATTTGCATATACATACATATGTATGTATGTTTGTACATATGTGATATTATGCGGCTTGTTACAAGATCTTAAACTTTAATATTACCTTGAAAAAATGACTTATGATGTTCAGTTTTTTGTATAGTAAATCTTCCATAGTATTTTAAAATAATAGACATTATCGGTGAATATTTTTTGTAAATAAATTTTGCAAATGTAAATAAATTTTGCTATTAGAACAAAATTCAAAGAAAAAATTAAATTAATAATTAATTTCTCACATTTGATCTAAAGATCCATGCTCAAAATCTAATTTATATAAGTTGATAGCTACACATCTACCTATATAAATATGAAAATTTACTATATTCAAACTACATATATAAAATGAAATAATTTTTGTTTTCCACAATCGCAACATTCTATTATTATAATTTCGTTTATTGTCCTTGGCCTTTCTGATTATAAATATTTTATAGTTGCTTTTATTAAATCATAATTATTGGTTCATAAAATTTGAATTTAATTTTTTTTTTTTTTTAATTAAATTTAGAAATTCTTTTAATTTAGAATGTACTGATCATTAATTTTAATGATCTACTAATGAATATAGAATATAATACATATTGTACCAAGAAAATATGGTCATAACTAAAAATTTGTTTAGGTGTTCAAAAAGTGATGGTTCCAGGAACTTCAGTAAAGTCAAGTAAAGAAGCATTGCGTTTATCCAGAATTTATCCAGATTTTATATATTCAACAGCTGGCATACATCCACATGATTCAAAATCTATTATAGAAGAACCAAATTCTTGGTTTGAATTTGAAAAAATTGCCGAAGCACCGGAATGTGTTGCTATTGGGCCATGTGGTTTAGATTATCAAAGGGACTTTTCAGAGCCAGACATTCAAAAAGAAATTTTTAAAAAACAAATCAGTCTTGCTTGTAATTTAAAAAAACCATTAATGGTACACGAGCGATCCGCCCAAAAAGATGTGCTAGATATTTTAGAAAGGTTATTCGAAAGTAATTTAATACAAATATCTTTTATAAAACAATATGTTTTTACAGTTTTCCTAATGCTTCCCAAATTGTTATTAGAGGATTTATTGGAACTACAGAAGAAGCTCTTAAATATTTGGATAGACATTATTATATTGGTTTAACAGGTTATTTATGTAAGGTATAAAATTTGAACTCGAGAACATAAAAATTTTAAATTCATTATATTCATGGCAAATTTATACTTCAAATAAAAAATTTAGGACAAATCTGATAGCGGTGTAAGAAAATTACTAGAAGATGGTACATTACCATTAGATAAATTATTAGTTGAAACGGATTCACCATTTATGTATCCAAATACTAGAGCATCTAAACTTCCACAACATGTTAAGACTGGAATTTCTGATAGATCGTTACTTTATTTACATAGGTAAGATATTTGTAAATGCATTATAAAAGTTTAAATTAGACAAAAAAGTAATACTATATTATTATTTTAGATATTGTACTTTTCAACGAAACGAACCTTGCAGCTTACCAGCTATTGTCGAAATGATTGCAGCTTTTATGAAAAAAACACCAGATGAGGTTGCGTTAGCTACAGCTTTCAATGCTTTGAAAATATTTGGGCTCGCTTAAGTTTAAATTTTGCTTAAATTCATTATATATTTTTTTATTTAAAAGGAATGAAAATATAATAAGCCATACCAAATACATTATTGAATGTATACATATAACTAAAGAAATTTTCAAAGCTTAAATAATGTATGCATATGAAATATGCACATACCTGTAGCATATAGAAATTATTAAAAATAGATCTGGAGAGTTTTGCAAGGATTTTATTTTATTTTAAAATTAAATTTATTACGATTCGATTCTATAGTTCGAATTATTAATTTTCTTAGTAAATTTTTGATAATTTTACGCCAAACTTTTTTACACTTTAAATAAACATATACATAATTATGTATAAATATTTTTAAATAATTCTAATTTTTGCTTCTCTAGTAAAGTCTTGGCTAAAATTGTTGTACGTGTTATTATTCAAATAACTGAACTTAATTTTAAGATATAAGAAAAATTTATGGCCATTATAGTTTTGCTTTTTGATTTTTTATACATATTTTTAAATCTAGTTTGTATTTATAATGCCAAAATTAAGAAATTAGTATTGAAATCAATAAAAAATGTTATACATTCATTGAAAATTTGATTTCATATCTTACTGAAGAAAAATATTTTTCGAATAATTATATAAATAAAGAGTTATTAAACCATCGTCTGATCGAAATGTAAATATCAAAATTATTATAATACAAATTTTCTCTTCCATGTAGTAAATTTAAGTGCCATAAGTAAAAAAATATATACCATACTTATAAATATTCGTTTTTAAATATAACACTACTAAAACCCTAGGAGATTTTTAAGAAGAAAAATGAAGTTAATTTTTTACTGAAAGCTATTTAAAAAAATATTAATTATTATTTTTTTTATTTATAAGAAAATTGTACATTATTTACATTACAAATATATATATATTATAAAATATTAAAGTTTTGCTTGTAAAGTCCTTACGTATGAAATCCAAGACTTTCTTTAAAAAAAAGTTTATATAATAAAAACTTGTTATTTTTATATAAAAAATACAAAATGTAAAAAAAAATTTTGAAATTAAATGTGATCAATTTTTAAATGATAATTGATTAAATATATGCGTCTTAGTTAGAAATTAGTCATAAGAAACAATGAAATGCATGTAAATATTACTTCAAAGCAAATAAATATCAATAACTGGACAAAAATGTTTAAATTTATTATTTTAAAAAGAATATCTGCAATTAAAATTAAATCATAAACCAAATGAAGAATATGTATTTGTATTTCAATATTTTTCTAAAATACTGCCTCTCAAGTGCTGGAATTAATCTTTTTATTTATTCAGTGTTCTTTTTCAACTAGACTCTTTCATTTGAAATAAAAAGGAATGAAATATGAACTTGAAACAAACAAAAATGTAACTGTGAATTTCAAATAAAAAGAAACGTAATATTTTATTTAACTTTTTTTTTTATTTCAAAATAGATTTTTTCTAACTTAAGAAGTTGCCATTATTAGAGAAATCCTCCAAACCTACTGACGGCGCTTACTTATTAAATAAATAATTTTTTATAATTTTTTTTAAATTATGTGTTATAAAATATTTTGTGATATAATTTGCTCTTAGTCAGCCAAAATTAATAAGATATACTAACTATGTAACTCATGCTCTTAAATAATCTTTAAATTTATGTTAGTAACGAAATCAGACTTAAATGACTTGTTCATATCACGAAAAAACTATAAGTTTAATTTTTTTTATTTAAAAAAAAAAAAATTTATAGTAACTTTTGCAACTATAAGATGTGAAAATTTTTGTTACGCAAACCCAAATATAAAATAATTCATAATAATTAAAGTTTATAAAAAAAACAAAATAATTTGAATTGTTTTAAATTAATAAAACCGTTTTTTAGCATTTTTTTCCCTATAGTACGAAATAATAAAAACTGTAATGGCAACTGCTGCTAACATTCCAAATAATAGTAAGAAAAATATTTTTGCATTCGACATGCTTGGCTTGGGATCTTCATGTCGTTCCCTCGGTGGTTCAAATGTAGCTGATTTGGGAATAATTTTCGTTCGTTCAAGAGCTTTTTCATACTAAAATATTTAAAAAAAAATTGTTTTTAAATTTATTAGATTAGAATTGTAAGGATATGAAGACCTACAGGAAAGTTAGTATCTAAATCATAAAATTTAAACGAATGGAGATCATGATTGTCTGATAGATCTCCCGTTGTTGCTGAAACTCCAAAATAATAACCAGTTGGTAACTCTATACCATTAACGGAAAAACAGTTTTTCCATTCATTTTTATTTTCGAAATCAGTTGATACGTGTAAAACATCATTTTCGTAGCGAATACTAAGATGTGTTTCATAATTAGCATTACGAAAACGAGCTTCACATCCATCTATTTGAGTATGTGTTCCATCTCTATCGTGATCGTAACTTAGAGAACCATTATTTACCATCCCACTGATATATGGATGTTGATGCTAAAATTAATTGTATTTAATTAACAATAAAAATTGAAAATTATTTTTAAAATATTTTACATTATGTGGACCGTTATGATTACTATATGTATCTAAAATAATTGCTAATCCACTAAATAAATCTTTACTGCCGAAAACATCTCCTGGTACCATTCGATCTTTTGCGTACCATATTGCCATTCCATCTCCATACAATTCCGTACCTTTGCCATGAACCTTAAATGTTACTTGGATTTCCCAATTTCTTGACATACAAGGCTATTACAGAATAAGAACGTTGTTTTAGAAATATGAAAAAATATGTATGTATGTACTTATAATCAAGCTAATGCTCATATTTACCGAAGTGTTCCAAATTGCCCCGGACTTTGATTGTAAATCTGGCGTCAGCCTGATATAGTTTGTAGTAACCATTGTATGACCCAAAAAATCCCAGTAAGGTAGATTTAAACCACCACCTCAATCAAAAATATATGTATTTAATAAAATTTCAAAAAATATACTTATACTAATCTTACCTAGATAAGGTTTAATTAATGAGAATTCACGCTTGAAATAGTCATCCGAATTCATGGCACTTATACTATATGAAAAAGATAATATTATACAAAATATAAAATATTTACTTGATATTTTTGGCATTTTTATATTTTTTATAAAATATTTATATGGAAGTTTCATTATCATCGAATTTTACGAAAAACGAATTTCATTCAGTGATCAACAAAGTTAAATGACATTTAAACTACAAGTAATTTATTTAACTATTTGACATATTTCATTCTGAAATGTCAAAACCGGAAACTTAAAAAAACAAACTGACCGCTTAAGCAGAAAACGTTTAATTGTTTTTCTTGCTCTTTTTAAATATCTCTTTGACATTTTATATATAGTTTAAATGAAAGTTACATTACAATTTAATATAATAATAATTTGTTTTAAAGAAGGAAATAGTTTTTAAAAGTAATTTGTATTACCCATTAAAAAATGTTTAAATATACTTAAAATTTACTTATGCAAAATCACATACAAAAATAATATCAATCCTATTCTCGAACACAAAAATTTCATCATAAACGAAAAGTTAGATGATAATTGAAGATAAATCTGTTTAAAATTTTGGGCACCAGACGGATATGCATTTTTTAGTTTTGCAATTACTGGTTGATTGTAAAATTGTTGCGCGCACATCTAAGTAAGTAGTAAATAAACCTTGGCATCAATGCAATCAGATTGCGTTATCTAAAAATAACTAGCAGTTTGTAAAAAATTATACTTTTAAACAATCAAAATCGAATGCGATCGAACGGTTGCAATATAAACCTATGGAATACAAGAGAATTATGGAACAATTAAAGAGTTGTAAAGCTAAAAAGTTATATGGTTGCCTGCTTTGGTTAGATTTTACATTTTTTCCGTTTTTTTTATCGAATAAATTTTTTATGTGAGAAACGAAAAATTGTGGAAGGGAATAAGGTGCTGGGGATTTCGCGACATGAAATTTCGTAGGTATAAATCAGACTTTATTTTTTTAATCATTAATTAAGGGCTTTAAGAAATTAACGTATTATTATAAAACAATGAAATATAAATATACTAAAAACCTTAAAATAATATTATATTAGTTATATTTGCTACGTTGAAATTTTCCAAATTACGCTAACTACTAATTTGAATTTTACCTATAATTTTTAATAGCATTTTACCCAATTTTTTTATATTTAATATGGCAACACTAAACGCGAATAAAAAAGTCGGAGCTTAGCGGAAGAGTTTTCGGTGAAATATAATATTAATTTCTATTATAAATAATAGAAATCATAGCCTAAAATCAATAAAACTTTAAAGATATACTTAAGCTTAAATTAGTTATTAAAAAATTTTTATTGAAACTCTATGAAATAATGAGAAATTTCTTAAAAAATCAAAAGTGAAATTTCGCGAACAAAAGAATATTTTTGCAGCAGCAGCATAAGCAGCCACCATTGCCATTAAAAAGCGCGAAAACACTATTTGTCTTATTCACTCTTATAAAAAAATTCATAAGTGAAGCATGTAGTGATAATTGAAAGAAAAAATCAAAATTTGTCAGTGGATTGGATTGTGTATGTTCTTTAATAGGTTTTTCTTTTCTAATTAAAAAAATTTTTGCTTTTTAATAAATAAATATATGTAGGTACATATTTCAAATTTAAATATAATCATTAAAAAAAATAAATATAAAAGATTTTAATGTAATTTTTATTCTAAGTTAAAAATAAAAATAAGTATAAAAGTGTTTATTAAATAAGTTTGTAAACAGATGTTTAGTGCTATTTTCAAGAGTTGCGGTTAAAAAAATTTCCAAACTTAACAAAAAACAAAAAAAAAAATTAGAAAAACATTAAAAAATAAGAATTAATAATATATTTAAGAAAAAAAAAAGAGTTTAAAATTTGAAATTTAATTTAAAAATTTTTTATTTAAAAAAAGAATCATTATCAAAACATTGTATGTATATATGAATTAATAAGAAAAGCAAAAGCAAGAAAAGAAAACTTTGATTCTGTCCTTTGGAAGTAGATGAAGGTTGGTAGAAATTTAATATCTTAATTTTTTTTTCATGTTTTGTCGCAATATCCTTAAGTAGATTGCTTGCTTTTATGAATAAATAACAATTTTTTTTTTTAAATTTTAGATTTTTAGTTAAGTTTATGTAAATACATACCTATCTTATTTATTAAAAATAATACAATTTTTTTAATTAAGAATTTTTATGTATGTAAGTTAATGAACATAACAAGAATACCTATATAACAATCGAAAATGACTTCCTTTAATTTAGTAAAAAAATATAATCACTTATAAGTAAGAGATCAAAATAAAACATAAATTGTCCTATAGTTTGTATATATATATAGATAAAAATTATCTGACGGATTCAAATAATAACAAGAAATTGGAAATTGCTAGAAATTTACAAATCTCACTGATTTCTTTTTTATTATTTTCTATTTGTGATTGTATAGATGCACAATTTAAATGTAAACCATTATCAATGTATTACAATTTGCTATTTAATTGCACAATAAGTATTTGTTTTTAACAACTCCTTGTAGGTACTTATTTAAATAAGGTCCCTTTATCTAGTACGTAATGAGATAGCTGGGTAGGTAGGTACCAAATAAATTCTCATTAGTTTTGGTGCGAAATAATAGTCCTATTGCTATTTTTAGCAACATATGTATATTGCAACATACCGAAATCCTTTGATGTTATTTCACAATTATGAGGTTATTTCTTAATTATTTAAACAGTAACATAACATTTTAGCATTGGTAGGTGTAAAGTGTATATTTTTAATTTATTTTTGTTTTATAAGTAATTTTTAAATATACATATATGTATTTTTGGTTTAATATTGCTCCATTCATGTAAATTATGTAGGTACAGGTAGGTGTCTACTAATATCGATATAAATATTTATATGAACGTTTAAATCATTAAAAGGGAAAGGAGCTCCCCTTGACTGTTTTTTAGTTCAAGATCATTAATAAAAAATTAATTGAAATAGTTAGGGTTAAGAACGACAAAACACTACTAAAGTAACAATGACTATTTTTGAAATTTTCACTTAAATATAATCAAATGAATACCTTAAATTTAGCTATCATTTTTGAAAACAAATTATAAGTACAAGTATGTCTAGGTCCTATTTCATCAACTAATAATTTAAATAATAAAAATTAGTTTTAAATTTTAAATTTTTTATAATCAATTTGTCATAAATTTGTCATAAAATTTTTGTTGGAGTAGAAGTCAAAACTGAAATGAACATTAATAAAAAAGTACCTAAGTAGGTGCTTATATATTTATTACATCAATAGAATTAAATGTTAATTATTAATTACTAATTATTAAATGAATAGTTTAAAGTAAGTACCATTTGATTTCGAAAAAGCAACTTTAAATTGAACGTTAATAAATAGATTTAATTAAATAGTAAATTTTTTAATTAGCTACTTACTTTTTCAATACTTGTTTATTTATTGCTTATAGAAGAGGTACATACATATTGAAGTAATTACTATTGAATAAAAACTTAATAACTTGTTAATTATTAAAATATAAGTAAACATTTAATCTTACCTCTTCTTATTTAGATAACTATTCGGATCGACTTTTTATTTTCCTATAGAAACTAATCAAGTATGTAGTTAATTTATTATTAAGAAGATATGGTGCATTGGTATGTACACATTTAATAACAACTTCAAATATACTTTTGTCTAAATGGGCACCTATATACATTCATTAAGAATTATGATATTGGGCTGGCGCCCTTTTATATTTATTTTATTTACTTTTAATAGCTTAATTTTTCAATAAGTAGGTATCTAATTCAATATAAAGTGTATGTATTTAAGATAGCAAGTAACTATTTACTTTAGAAGAGTATCTACTTAAGTACTTTAAGTATAAATAATACCTTTATTTTATTAATTTATACTTAGAAAAAGGTTTGTGTTTTATTCTAAATTACATTAAATTGATTTAACTTTCAGTGTCAATCTTTATTAATTAAGATTGTTAAGAAAATTTCATTGCAATGTTTGTTGCTTTGTCTATTTTAAATTGGTAGTGTAAAAAAGATATAAATTGGATTAGTTATTTTTAAATATTAATTCCAAAATTACTTAAATAAAATTTTTTTTACCCTCAATTTGATACAAAATTGATTTTAAAATATAAATTTATGGGGCGCTTTTTTTTATATCTCAACTATTTTTTTACTTTAATCTGACATAATTGTTTAATTTCTGTTTATCACATCTCTAAAAGAGTAACGCTCGAGGCAGAACTTTTCTAAATTACAATTTTGTTCAATTGTTTCCACTTTTTTTATATCTATTTTCCGGGTATTATGGAGGCAATATCTTTTTTATAGTTCTACCTTTTAAAAGTTTTGTCCATTTTCAATTATAAATTCTTTTTACAAATTAACAATTTTTATGTTAATTACAAAATTTTACAAATATTTCTTATTGTATGAATATTCGCGGCTATATTCAATTCAATCGCGGCTATATTCAATTAGATATGTAAATGATCAATTTCAATGTAATTAATTTAGTTCTAATAAATTAAATTTAAATATTGAAACAGATTCTGGTTTTTATAACGAAAATGATGTTCTGTTTAAATAATTATCTTATTACCATATGGAGTCTACATAAATTAGGAAAATATCTGAAAGTAAAATTAAAAAATTACACAAAAGATTGAATTCGGTAGGTATCTATCTATTAAATAGATTAAGTTTTTTTTTTTTTGAAAAAGTGTGTGAAACTCTCATATTTTTTCAAATTGTTGTTACTCGTATTCTTTAAAAATTCATTTAGTATTTTTCATTTTCCTTTTCTACATTTTTTTCTCACAAATTTTATTTTATTTGTTTTTTCTAAATTAATAAGTTTTCTTCGAAAACAAATAATTTAATTAAAATTAAATTTGTTTGCCTTACTTTTGTAATTTAAAATTTAATGCAAATAAAAGTTTAGAAGATCTAAAATACTGAAATTTCGATTTTAATGTATCGGACAATTATGCAGTTAATGATTGAGATATAATCTACGACGTAGTCTAATTAAATATTTGTGGAAAATCCGCCAGAGAATACATGATAGGCGTGATGACTCATTTTACTAAAATTAAGAACACGTAAAAAAAATTAATGTTTAGGGTGTATTTACGCTTAAGCTTTTCTTATACTGTAAAATATTTAAAGTTAAATTTAGAAACACAATAATTTCTTTTTCTATGTAAGTTTTATCAACAATATAACTTCACGTTTACTTTACAACCATAAGATCAATAATAATTATAAATCTTATACACAATTTAATTGATTTTATAATAGTTTATTCATACCTACTTAATATAAATATTTAATTGTTGACAAATAACTTTGTTTATTAAGTTTTTAGTGAGCAAACGGAGATTTTTAAATTTGCTTGCATATTCAATTTTTGTTTTAATGCAAGTAAAAAATTCAAACAAATAGTGTAAAATCGCTAAAAGTGTTAATTTCATTTATGCGATGTCCTATTGTTACCCAATTGTATATCATATTTTTAACACAAAACCATTATTTGGATATACTTAGTATGGATCATATAAGATATGGATTTAAAACTTAGAAAATTTTAAATTTTCTTTCAAAGAAATCAAAATATGGATCTTACTATTAGGTACTTTTAATTCCTAATACTGCATTTAGGTTATATACTTATGACATTACATAAAAAATGGAATTATCTTCGTTCTAAACTTTTCTCTTATTTAGTGGTGAAGCCTTCCAATAAACTTAAAAAGGCTTGACTTTTACGTGTTTCGTTAAATTTTGAAATTATCTCCTAATCGGTATTTATTGTCAAAATAATGTCTATAGAAGTAAAGTAATACTAATTTAAATTTAAATTTACTTTAAATATTTTTGAAAAAAATATATAATAGGTATTTGATGTAATCACAACATATCGATCTACTATTGAAAGTTTTATACGAAAAACTTCGATTCAAAAATATTTTGTAAGTGAATAAAATATGTAAAAAATCTCCCCTCTAGCCTTATATTTTTGTTTTATGAAATATATATGAGTCATAAATGATCCAACCAGATGATTAGGTGACCATAAAAACAGAATAGAGTACTAAGAATAGAGCAATGAAACAACAAGATAAGAACAAGTGTTTATTGATGGCACTCTTTATATTTTTATATTTATGAAATTTTTCAGATTAAAGGTACATAAGTATATGAAAACATTTTCATTAAAAAGTACATCGAACTTTTTTTTGGCACCTGTTATTTAATATTATTAAAAATATTCTTTGTTATTTATTTACACAATAATTACACGTTATTACTTAAAAATAAAAAACAGTGAAAAAAATTATAAAAAAAACGTAACAAAAATACTTTTTATTTATTTACTATTCTTTTAATTTTTTAAAATATCTCTTTTTAAATATACTTAGTACATGTATATAATATTCATATATATGTATATATATATATAATTGTATGTTTTTTTGATATAGTTACTTACTTATATTTTTTAAATAAATAATTAGGTTATTGGAAGTCACAAAATAATATTAAATTTTTTTTTTAAATTTTTATTATAATTTATTTCTTTTTAATCAAATATATATATATATACACATATTACTATACATATAATATATATATGTATATATGTATTCATATATATACCTTCATATATATGTGTATATATATAATTATAAAATATTTACTTCTTTTTTGTAAAAGTAGTTATTGGTTTAATAATTGATAAAAATATTTTCAAAATTTTTTAATATTTGAGACTTTAATTCGTATTTTATTTATTTTTTTTTTTAAAGAAAGAAAAATATCTATATATTTATTTATAGAAAATTGACCTCTACAGAATTTAAAAAAAAAAAAAAACAAAAAAAAAACAGATACACAAGTAAAGAGAAAACAAATATATAATTATTGTGTTGCTATAATTAATAATTATATAATAATAAAATAAAAAAAAACAGAACAGAAAAAGCAAAGTCAAAAAAAAAAAACACATTTAATTCGAAAAATTTATACTACCTGACTTAGGAGAGTTGGTATTAAAAGTTGCATGTTCATGAGCAAGGGACGTCGTCGTATCCAAAACATTAGCAGAGTTAAACATAAATATAACATCGAAAAATTTTGATGATGTCTGGGACATTTAGATACCCTAGTTCGCCATTGACGCTTGGATTTCCTCAGCGAGGTACGATACAAGGTATTTCAAAAAAAAAATTATTTGGTTTTATTCTATTTTGATGTTGTTGTGACGGCGATTTTAAAAATAAATAAAAACAAAAGAAAATGAAATTTTTTATAAAGTTGAAAAGAAAAACATTAAAATATCAAAAAAGTGTAGGATCAAATTTTTTTTTTCCGATATACCTTAATCAATATTATTATATACTTACTATAAATTATTACTTACTTCATTTAGAACTATTTTAATAATATTTTGTAATAAAAAAGAAATCTACGAAAAACTGAATCTTCAGGCTTATACCTTGTAATCAAAACTCTAAAATTGTAATCTTTTGGCAAAACGAGAAAAATAACAAAAAAACAAAAATAAAAACATTTTTACTCTAGTAATTAATTATTTTTTAAGAAAAAAAAAAAACAAACAAAATTCAAATTATTTTCATAATATTTTTTATTACTCATTTACTCAATATTTTCTTCATTAATTTAATATAAATATCAATAATTCTATTTACATATATACTCGTATTTTATATTTAGATTTAATTATTTTAAACGCAATAAAAAAAACAATTACTTAATAATTATATCTTTTTTATATAATCGCTTTAAAAAATTAAAAATAATAAAATATTATAATCGTTATTTAATATTTTTAATCTATTCAAAATCATTAAATATAATATTTTTAAGTAAAATAATAAATAAAAAATAATAATTTTTTTATTCTTATTTCGTTTCGAATTAATTTAGGTAACTCTTTCATTATGGGATCTCGTAATAAAGAAAAATATGAAAATAATAATCGAAGACAACAAACATTTATGTCAGCTGAAGATGTTGCTGCTGGTAAAAAATCTGTTTGGAATGGTGTTGAGATAACAGGTAATTTAAAATGTTTCCTATGGATACTAAAGAATGTTCAAAGCAGTATACTTCTATAAATATTATTCAAAAACGATAGTACTGAATTAATAGAAAGAAAAAATTGTGTTCCTTCTTCAGGAAAAATATTATGACACAGTAAATTTTATTCATAATTCCTTAGAAAATACAAAAACCCCTACAAAGTGAGGTATAATTGAAAAACTTATATAATTAAATAACGGGCATCATCTAAAAATATTTTAAAGTTATACTTCTTTGAACGTCCACCATACAATTTTTTTCAAAATTACAAAAAAAAAAAAGGAATTTTTAAATTTTTTTTTATTGTAATTGAATTTTTGAGTTCAAATTACAAAAAGTATTATTTAGTTAAATAAAGAATTTATATTTAATTTATTTAAAATACAATTTGATTATACAATTTAAGAAATACAATTTACTTATTAATTTTATTTTTTCTAATGTAATTTTTATATATTTTTTTTATTTTTAGGCTATGTTAGAAATATAAGTCCAGCATTATGGCAATTTAGTCATCTTACTGCCCTTTATTTAAATGAAAATAATTTATTAAGATTACCACCTGATATTGGTTTATTAGTTAATTTAAGAGTATTAGATGTTTCATCTAATAAGCTTAGAAGTTTACCAGCTGAATTAGGTGAATTAATTCAATTAAGGTGAGAAAATTTAAAAACAAATTATAAATTTATGTTTTTTCTTTTTTTTTTTACTAATTTATTAAAACACGAAATAGAATAGTATTAAATTTATATTTGATCTTTTGTAATATAATAACCTATAAATTTTGAAAATTCTAATTATTAATTGCAAAATTTGTTTAGAACATACATTTTTTTTTTGCGTTAAATAATTGAAATCGTTGAGTTTTAAGATTTAATTCACATAGGTACATAAGTTTTATATAAAAATATGTTCAAATTTATTTTGCTTCTCAATTCAGCAATTATTGTTAAATAATCTAAATTAAGTAGTTTTCCTCTAAAGATTTAAAAAATATTAATTATTAAAGAATAATAAAGAATAATAATTTGTACAAGAGGGATAATAAATACAAGCTATAAAATTTTTTTTGTTGTCCAGTTAAATGTTTTTCTAAATCAAATTATACGAACAATAGAATTTCAACTAATGCAATTTAATATTTTCTTATTAAATTAATTAATATAGAAATTTTTATATTCGTACGAACATATGTTCGAAGTTTTAATATGTTTCATTAAAAATTGTTGAAATCTCATGAGCACTTGTTATAGCTGCCATACAACTCCAAAGTTATTTGGCATTATCTCAGAAATTATTGGAGCTTAATATAGAAATTTCGTGAAAATAAGTTCATTATTAGGGTTGTTATATGTGAAAAAATTCGTTGAAATTTTATGACTCCTTTTGGCAGCTGCCATACAACATCAATAGTAGTTTAACCATATCTTAGAAATTTAGAATATCAGAAATTTGCATAAATTAATATGGTAATAAGGCAACTGACAAAATTATAGTCAGTTCCATAGTCACCTAAGGCATATTTACTAGCACATAGGGTAACAAATTCGTACGGGTATCACAGAGTTGACATGGTCAACTTTATTTTTTCTCGTTTTAAAATAATATCATCATAAGTTAAGTATTAAAATTTGATATACATATTATTCTTTGAAATGTGTATTTAAATTTCTGTTTGATTGGTATAGTCAGTTCATTACTTTCATAAAACTTTAATGTACACATTAAAAAATTAAAAATATTTTTATTTTGATTTTTTAGAACAAAACGGTAATTAAATTACATGACGAGAATCAGAAATGAAAAAAAAGTCATTGTTTTTGTATTATTCGTAATTTTATCAAATTAATCGTAGAAGCTATAGATTTGAAACATAAAAACTTACTTCGCAATTATTCCATGGAAATAGGATCTTTTCTCCATTTTATTTAATTTTTTTTATAATTATTAGGTAAAAAACTTTGGCAAAGTACGGCTTCAATTAAAATTTATATAATTTCGATTATTAATTTAATTTTAGGAAAATTATAACGGTATAATTTTTTGATAAAATTTTTATTTGATTTTTATAGCTCACACATAAAATTCATAAAAAAATCTATAAATATTGAAAAAATTGCAGGACTTGTTCTTCCTTGTCGAGGGGAGCATAATGTCCAATGAACGTTTAGTGAGGGCATTGATGCTGAAACCCTTATTTAAGACACTCCCGTTCGATTTTATCTTAAGATAAAAACGTTCGGAATTTTTGGATAGCCCTTTTACTTCACAAAGGGCTAGTCAACATAAGAATAAAAATGCAATTGCATACAATATGCGCTTTATAATGTATACAAAATTATAAAGTACCTATTTATATTTATATTCAAATTATTTAAAAATTTGTTAAGTTGGCAAATTGTGTGTGTTGATTATGAAAATTATAGTTTACAAATATATGTATATTCGGATTTAGGTTTATTTCAAATCAAATTTATTTATCATTATTACAGGGTCTCTAACTTCGTAAATAATTAGAATTAGCATTAATTTAGATATTTCAATTTTCATAAGAAACATAAAAATAATTTCATAAAATAAATTCAATTGTATTAAATTCTTAACAGTATGATAAAATAATATGGTTTTGTCTTATTATTATTTTATTTGGCTCATGTTACTAAATTGTAATTATTTTTTAATAGCTAAAATTTATTATTTGTTTTACATTTTATTTCCAGAGAGCTGTTACTTAATAATAATTTTCTTCGTGTATTGCCCTATGAGATTGGAAAATTATTTCACTTATTAGTGCTAGGGCTTCATGGCAATCCTCTTGGTAAAGAATTTTTAAGTATTTATAATGAACCTAATGGAACAGCAAAGCTGTTGACGTATATGTTGGATAACTTAACAGGTAAGTCAATTTCACGTTTGGAAATAATTTTTTTTTTTAATAAATACTTTTGTGCGTTAAAATATCTTTTTTGTTTTTGTACAAGATTTGAAAAAATTATTTTTCTTTGTATATATCTCACTTCAATATAATAAAATTCAAAAAATTTTATTTTGACTTTTTATCAGAAGATGCAGACACATTATGCTGGTTTATGTCTATGATAAAATTTCGTATAAAAGTTTTTCTTATTTGCTACATATCATTTTTTCAATTTGTAGAGAGAAAATTATATTGTTAGCCACATTGTTGCAAAGAAAATATAGAAAGATACCGGAATGTTGACCAACAATTGTAGATTTTGTAAATATAATTTCTGTCTTGTTTTATAGCCATTAACTTACATTATAAGCCAGCAATATACTTTTTAAATTCGTTTCCAAAATAATTTTGAAAAAAAGTGGTTATTAGTTTCACTCTGTTCGTCCTTTGAAGATAGAGCTGAAATATGTAGACCTTTACTAGAAACCTATTTCCGTAGAAGAAATTTTTTTCGATCTATCCTCTAACAGTACTATTACCAGAATCCCAAAAATTTTCAAATTTTGCAAACACAGAAAAGTAGTGGCTTGTTTTGTCTAGTGCGGTAATCATTTCTGAACATAAAAAAAACAGTTTACCATTATCTAAAATGCGTTTTTTTAAATTTTTTGATATCGTTTTTATTCTAGACCGCAGGCTATAGACATCTAAATTTAAGCTCTTAGATCTTAATAAATAGTTTATTTCGTTAGAAGGAAATTTTTTACCACCTCTAATCCTAGTAATTTATCGTCTTTCGAAATTTGTAAAATTCGAATTTTCGGATAATATTTCCGGCAACTAATATTTCCGGAACTGCAAGCAAACTGTTCCAAATTCCTATATATGCAGAAAGCTAACGGTGAATGTCATGCTAATTTTTTTTTCTTCACTAATGATTCGAGCATTATATTAACGTTTCTTTAATTTTTTTTTTGTTTTATTTCAAAGATTACATACATACATTGCTCATCCTAAATGTGTGCAATATGCAATCTTTGAAATATTTTGTTGATGAATGAAAGAAATTTAAATTAAAGGCAATATTTTTTTTTTTTTTTTTTGAAAAGAAAGGTTACAAACTATTGGTTTGATCCAGCTTTATTATTTAAAAATTTATTTATCCAGTTAAAACAGCTCCGATATATTTACAATGTAATTTCTTTTTTTTTCTTCTTTGCAACTAGAACAAAGTTGTGGTTTATATAAACATATAATTAGATATTTTATCTCACCATACGTTTTGATTTTCACCTCATAAATTATCATTGTCAGGAGAGTATTGTTACAGTTAAACACAAAAAAATTATGTGAAATTAAAATGAAAAGTGAAAAAGTGTTGTATATTTTGAGAAAATACATAATACAAATAAACGCTCCAACAAGCTACATATGTATAATATGTGTTTGTATTTATGTGTACGAATTTGCAAAATTTTCACATAATTTTATATAAATAAAATTGGAAAACTAAAAAGTATGGGCGACTAAAATATGAAACATAAGGTGCTTGTTACTTTAACTTCCTTGTTAAATTAAAAAGAAACTCTTTAGTTTTGCTTTTTTTTTACAATATAAAAAAATTTTAATGAAAATCTCATAGTGCATAACTGATTTGAATGAAGTAATATTAATTTTTTCTTTTTTTGATTCTATTAGATTTGAGGTATAAAAATTATCACTTGAATGCAATGATGGTACCATAAAGATAAAAAATTATGCTTTTTATTTTGTGCTTCTGTAAGAAATGCAAAAATTTTTTTTTGTAATTTTTTATTCATTGGCTTTTTTTTTTCTCAATATTGTAAAAACTCCCTTTCAACTAGAAATTTTTTTATATTTTTATTTAAATTTAATTTTCACATGCTAATTATCTTATTTTTATTGGGTTACCATGGTGCTCCACAATTTTCACTTTCTGTTTTTTTTTATCATTTAATTTTTGTTTTTCTTGCATTTGCAAGCAATTCTTTTATTGTTATTTTTTTTATTTTATAAACAATCACTGGGATTGAATTGTTTTTTTTATAGTTTTCGGATTTCGGAATAATAGAATAAAAAGAAAGGGTTTCATTTTGTATCTGGGAAATTTTCATTGATAAAATATAAAAAATGGCTATAGAAAACAATTGACGATTTCATATGAAAGACACGATATGCAAATTTGGAAACAAAAAAATCTTAAATTTTTTTTTTTTGCAAAAGTTGAGATGTTTTTAGTTGATTTTCGTTTTGTCTTGCTTTCGCCGATTAAAAATATAAAAATTTTTTTTAGTTATGGGTTATAAATTAGAATTCATGAAATCTGAAAGTGTTATGATACATAAAAAATATTTTTGTTATCGTGCTATCATCCCGTTATCACTGTCGTACTATTGTCCTACACAAAACAAACAATAAAGGTGCAAAATTTGAGCTGGCACGATTAGTACACGGTACGGCTAACTGCTTAATTCACTAACTTATCAAAAGCAGTGGTACTACAAAGTGACAAAACTTTGTTACAAACGGCATTTGGAGGAATTGGTGAGAAGAGTATCAGAAAATTTGAACATTGACATGTTCAATTCCTTTTTTTTTTTTTTTACAACAATAAAATACAAATTTCGAAAATACAATCGAAATTCCTTTTACTTGCAAAAATTGTTGTAAGCTTTTGAATATTGTCATTTATGATACCTTAGAAAAGATCTTTTTGAGCTTGAAATGGTTTTTTTGTGGCGACTTTTAAAAGTTAGCATCATAAAACCTGCTGCAAAATTTGTAAGAATACTATTCACGAGTAAAATAACTTAAATCATAATAGTGAAAGTTGCTTCGTTTAATTGTAAAGTTTTTTAATTGTATTTTTTGATTCTGAATTATTCCGAGAACAATTTGAATCTGCTGTGTTCTACTTAATGTATAATATAGGTATTTGAAATATAATATGGATTTTAGCTTTCCTGTCGAATGAGCTTTCCTGTCGGCACGTATTAAAAAATATTTTTATATAATCGTTTAAATTTCAACTATAATTTTTTTTTTTTATTTTCTATAATTTCTTTTCCGAATCTTTAAATAAGTTGATCGCCGCCAACTTGTCTTAATTAATTTAATTTAATTTAATTTTTAATATAAGCTTCGCAGTTAATTTTTTTTATCAACTTGAATTAAATTAGTAAGTTATGTTCCATTTCTTTCCTACAAAAATTTGTGATTCTCAAATGTGTTACAGAATTATAATTTAATTAGACTAGACTTTAAATTACTTTACTTTTGCTCATAAAGAGATCACTGACTCCTTTGTTAACATAAAAAAATATTATTTATTTTTCTTTTGCTTCCAATGAAAGTTTGAAAAAAAAACATATTTTTAATACAAAGTAAAACGGTATTTCATATTTTGAATCTATAACGGATTTTTTTTTGTAAAAAATATATAAAAAAATTTTAACTGAACTGTCCCCAACATTTTGTATCTGCGGCATGTGTTATCATTTTGACCCCAAAAAAGAAAATATAATGAAAAAAAAAATAGAATTATTTTTACAATTAAACTTGTCAATTATGAGGTTCACAATTCTAATTCTAAAGATAGAAAAAGACTCAAACTGGAACTCTTCACTTAAAACATTAAAGAATTCGAAGAAAAGAATACAAACTTATTGGATTATTTAAAAGAATTTCTAAAATTTAAATGGTGTACCAACTTAGATATTATGATATCAAAGTGATGAGGACTCTTTTACATTAGGAAAAGATCTAATTAAATACTTTCTATTCTATACTAGGTGTAATTTTGAGTAATCTAGCTGGTGCAAGTTTTTCTACATCAACTGAATAAATTGTAATTTTGAGGCTTCGCTAAGATTGTAGATTTTTTAGATTTCAAGGGAACCGAGTGGGACAGGAGTAACCCCCCAAGCCACCGCAGCCATTCTTGACTTATTGTAGGCTTCGCTAAACTAACTAAAAAACTAATTACCTAAATGCTGTAAACTCATTTTCGATAAATTCTACTTGATAATTCTTTGAAGTTTTTTCTAGTTTTGAATAATTACAAACTGTTAATCAAATTTTTAACATTTAATTTTTCTTTAGCAAAAACAAAAAATAAACAAAAATAAAAACGTTTCTGTCTATCATAAACGACGGTGTTATACCCTACAATATAACAATTTAGCTATAAAAACTACAACTTCGGAAATATTTAAAAACAGTCTTTAGGGTTATATGGCATTTACGCAAACCCTTCAATCCATTCTGCAATCACTTTAAGAATATATCTGAACTGTAACTCGACACAAAACTGTTAAATTTTTTTTCTAGCTTTATTATCTTTTCAAATATTCAAAATAAGCTTTTTAAGAGTTTTGTGGTAGCTACTCGAATCATCGCCATTCAATTCAGAAAGTTTGTTGTTGTTTGCCTTTTTCATTTATGATTTGTGGTGCGAACGGACAGACGGACGGTTGAACAGGCATGTCTAAATTAACGGGGAGTTTTAAGTTGAACAAAAATGTTGAGAAACATGTTCATACTTCATATGAGTTTTTCAAGTGGTTGCGAAACTCCTCATATCCATCAAAATGTAGACTATAAAAATTAAAGTAAATCTCAATTATACTAACGAAATTCCTTCCTTAAAAACATTTTATGGAGATTTGGAGATCCCAATTGCTTTTTATATGCATATATGCTTTTTTTCTTTTTGTCTGTTGTGGAAAAAAAATGTAAAGTTTGACGTAAAATTGTTTTAACATGTGAGTGAAAATCGTGAATAAATAAGTAAATCACAGCAAATTATCTTCAAACACTGATAAAACAATTATTATAAATAAGAAAAAAAAACTAACGAAATTTAATGGTAGTAACGGTAATTATGCAATACAATTCATCGAGTTAAAAAAAAGATTAAGAGGAAAAAGAAAAGTGGGTAAATAATAAATCTTACAGCT